TGACAGAGAGCGACACAGCGAGAGAGGGAACACAAGCAGGGGGAGTGGGAGAGGGAGAAGCAGGCTTCCCGCCGAGCAGGGAGCCCGACGCGGGGCTCGATCCCAGGACCCTGGGATCATGACCTGAGCCGAAGGCAGTCGCTTAACGACTGAGCCACCCAGGCGCCCTCAAATAAAATCTTAAAAAAAAAAAAAAAAAAAAAAAGAACATTGATTCCTTAGGGCTGTTGGAACCTGGGAGCCTATCTCCTGGGGTGGAGACTGGGAATCTGCATTTCTAACAAGGGCCTGGGAGACTGATGCCCACTCAGGTTGAGGCAAGCGCCCTCCCTGCGTGCCCTAGCCATGCTGCACCACCTGAGGCCCAGCTGGATCACCCTCAGACAACTGCCCTTTCTGGGCAGCCTTTTCCATGCTCCCTGTCTGGGATGGGACCCTCCCCTGTGCTGACATCTAGGTGGTGCCTCTCTCGTCCCACTTGGACAGCTGTCCCTGTTCCCTACCTTGAGCTCTCGGAAGGCAGGGGTTGCACTTTTTCTTGCCCTGAGCCCCCAGTGCCCGGCCCAGGGTGAGTGCTCAGAAACTGTCTGCTGAGTGGTTGGGGAAGTGAGTATGCCACGTCTGCTAGCAGAGCAGAATCTTGTACCTGAAAATAGAAGGTCTGAATGGGCTCCCCATCCTGGTCGTAGGTGAACTGGCCAAGAAGTGTCCCCTCTTGCTGCAGGTCTTCATCAAACCCCTGAAAAGAGAACAAGGGATGGCGGGAAGATCTTGCACTAGACAAGCGCCCCGGCCCCCCCAGGGAGGAATGTTCTCCCTTCCTGTTCCCATACTGGTCCCTTCCCACACTAGCAGATCAGGCAGCAGCCTTAGTGAGACTGTAGGGGGCCTGAGCCCTGGACCCGGTTTCTTCCAGTGCAGCCTAAGATAACTGGGACTTAGGTACCATTTCCCACCCTGCTGCTCTCTCTTCCAGATATGCTCCTTTCTTCCCAGCCAAAGAATAGATCCCAGCTTGGTCCTTGGTAGAGGCTCACAGGGTCCTGTAGCCCCCCTGGCCCCCCACAGGTACTCACAAAGATGGAGAAGTCCTTGGGGGCACTGGAGATGGTGCTGTTGGGCGACAAGGACTTGGGGACATGCTCTAAGGTGACAGCAGTGGGGCGGATGCGGGCAGAGAGGCGAACCACGGCAAAGCCCTGGGGCCCCTGGAAGGCCCAGCAGTTGCCTGGGTGCACGTCTGGCTGGAGGGGAAGGAAGCTGGGTCAGCGTAGGGCTGGTGACAAAGATAGCCCACCCTGAGCACAGCTTTTGCTGACCCCAGGATGGGAGTCCCCCAGCTACACAGGTGACTGCTCGGGGCCCCTGCTGCTGCCCTCTTTGGGTGCCTACCTGGAGAATGACTCGGGGTGACTGCGAGTGGTACCACAGGGGGATGCCGAAGAGGCTGAGGAGGGCCGTCTTGGTCTCATAGGTCTCGGAACACCGGGTGCTGATAACACTAGCCCCTAAGACAGGAAAGCAAGGCAGTGTGGGCAGGGGAGGGAGGGTGGGCAACCCAGACACCAGTGCATCTCACCAGCCCAGGGAACCCAGGTGGGGACGGCTATTGCCATGTCCTCTCTGAGGATGGAGGGCAGATGCCCCGGGCCTAGTCTGTGTACCTCAACTATATCCAACTACAGAATAACTGTAAACGTCAGCCTCTCCCTGGCCAACAGTGGTGTTCAGTTCATCCAGACTTCTCCTAAGCTTCTTCACTTGCCTTCATTGTGAGTGATGTGTGCTGATCTCAAGCTCCACTCGCCTAGCAACATGGCTGCCCCGGCCGATGCCAGAGGGCCAGCCAGCACGGGGACCTGGCCAGCAGCAGGACAAAGGCTCTGCAAAGGGGGGAGAGTGCACACACACCTCCTGATTCCAGAGCGTAGTCCACCATCCCGATGCGGTCCTCACTGTAGCGCTTCAGGGCCTGGTTTACAATGCGCTGCACCTGCTAAAAGAAGCACCCAGGACGGCTGCCAGGTGAAGCAGACTTGCCCACCCTTAAGCCCCTACTACTGGGGGACCCCCCTATCCTGCACCACACACTGGCATCCAGCCACACACGCCACTTCCCTAGGTGTCCCCCCACCCCCACCCCCACCAGCCCCAAAGCCAACATCAGAGCCTCTTGCATGTTGAGAGGTAAGGTAGCTAACCCTTAGGCCTTGGAATATACCAGGAAGCCGGCAGAGTTGGGACTGTGCAGGTCTATGGCTCCCAGGGAAGAGAACACCGTGTCAGGGGGTGGGGCTGTTCCAGGGACCACACAGTCCTTACCTCCTCTGTCACCCCGATCACGCCTTCCTTCTGCAGCGTCAGCCCCAGGCTGGCCGCGGCCTCCCTCGCTGACTTGCCCTGCATCTCGGCTACGTGGGCAAGGATCTTGCTCTCCAGCTCCTGCAGCTGAGCTTGCATCTCCTCTCGCTGAAGGAGCCCCGTGCGGGTTCCTCCACCTCGGAGAAGGAACTGACTGACCCAGGCGGGGAACTGAGACTCCACCTGGGGACCGAAAAGTCTCTGAGAGGCTCACAGGGACAGTGTTGCTCTGGTGCCCCAGGCCAGGGCAGGGTGGTGCCTGGCTTGAGTAGAAGGGGTAGGGAAGGAGCACAAGCCTGGGAGGGGAGGGCTGGGCCAGCAAATCCTGCTAACCCACACGGAGGAAAGAGTTATGCACAACCCTCCACGTTATTGAAAACAAAACTGAAGAACTCTGGTCAAAGAAAGCCAGCATTTGTGCCAAGTCCCAAGCAGGGGGCGGCTGGACAAATAGGCTCTTTGCCATATGGGCTCCTAGGACAGATGCCCTCCGAGGACAGGGTGTTCAGCAGGGGACTTGGGTGGTTCCAACTTACGTCATCCCTCACGGCCTGCAGCTGCTGGGGCAGGAGGCCCACTTGGTCTGCCATGGAGCTCTGCTTCAGGCTCAGGGCTGCCAGCTGGCCCTCCAGCCGCCCCAGCTCCTTCATGGAGTTCTCTTGGAAGGCCTCTTGGGTCATCCTACTCCCGAAGAGAGGAGAAAAGTATAAGCCTTGGCTCCCTGGTGAGGGGTGAGGCCGTGCTGAGAAACACAAGAGGATCCCCTCGTTGGCTCCCAATAGAAGTGTGTGCTCATCACCCGCAGGTGCACGCAAGGCCTACACCTGGGGACCCTGGCCTGGGGACCACAGCCCCGGCGCCTACGAACTGGTTTGCTTATCCCAAGGAATAAATTCTTACCCTGTTCCCTTTCTAACCCCAGATCCACAATTCACTCTGCCTCGGCCTCTCCCACCCTCCACACATACGCATGTCTGGGGTATGGGAAGGCAGCCTACATGAGTGTGTACAGAAAAAATGGCATGTCTACACCCAAACCCACAAATCCCAATTCTCCTGCAGTGCCTCCTATACCCAACCTCTCTTGCATCTTAAGGACAGGCTCTAAGCAGGTGTTCCTGAGCTAGGTTTCAGCCATCCCCTCTCTGCTCTGAGGCTCTGCTCCCCAGGCCTGCCTGGGTGTGGGGGGAAGGAGCAGGGAGGAGCAGGCCTAGGCCAGATGGCAGTGCCCATTACCTTTGCCACTCAGACTTCAGCTGCTGGAGTCGAGCCTCAGACTCCTGTAGCGAGAAGAAGGCACAGATACAACAAATGCCAAGCTCACAGCAACCGGTCTCCCGGAGCAGGATCTGCTCCCTTTGGAGTCTTTGTTTCACTACAGCCCCACCCTGGCAAACCTTAAACACCTCCTGGTCAAGGTCCCCAAGAGAGTCTCCCTCCTGGCACACTTCGGCATTCATTCATTCACTCATTCATTCACTCGGCATGTTATACCCAGCACAACAGACCTCCTGAAAGCCCCCCTTCCTCAAGCATGCCCCAGCGCGTCCCTGCAAAGCATTCCAGAGCCCGTGGGTTTGGCCCTCGCAGAAGTTAGGGGACTCTACCCCCCCATCTGGTGTCTAAGCAGGCCCTTCGGGAGATCTACGCTGTCTCAGCCCAAGAGCAGATGTTGAACTGGATAAGGGCCCCACCGACCTGGGAAGCCTGGACAATTTTCTTAAAGAGGTCTTCAGAGTCTTGTTGATGCTCTGCTCTCAGGGTGACCAGTTCTTCCTGTCAGAGGAGAGAGAGGCTGAGGACTTTCCGGAGTTACAGGCAGAGGGAACTTAGCCAGTAGGGGGTCAGATGGGAACTTGAACCAGGCCTGTCTGACTGCGAACTTCAGCTCCTGGCCCTTCTTCTCCAGTGCTCCTCGGGAACACGCAAGACTCCCTGGATCTTACTGCACACCTCTTGTGCCAGGCACTCTACAGTCTTGCGCTCGCACGACTGGGTGGGGGTGCAAGGGTAAACACGAGAGCCTCCGTTTTACAGGGAACTAAGGCTTAGAGAAGGTAACTGCCAAGTGACACACTGCTGTCTCTGTCATGTCAGGGTGCGCAGGGCCTTGCCCCTCCATCCCATACACCCACCGCGCCACCCAAACGCTACTCCGCTCCCGTTCGGAGACCTGGATCCGAGCGGCGGTGTCCCTGCGGAAGTCCTCCTTCAGGGCAGCCTCACGGCGGCTCACTAGCCCCTCCAGAAGCGCCAGGGTGTCGTCCTGGCTCAGGCCCACGTGGCCTCCCCCACCAGCGGCTCCCTGCCGCAGCTCCAGCCGCTCCAGCCGCATAGCCTCCTTCTGCCAGTTGGAGGAAAATTCAGCAGCGAGAGCTTCCAGACGCCGCTCCAGAGAGTGGACCCGGGACAAGATGCGCTGCTCAGCCTGGCGGGGTGGGGAGGGAAAAGCCACGGAGGTGAGTGACAGAGGATGCTCTGTGCCCCGCAGGTAGGGGAGGACGCCAGCAGGGAGCCCGGGTGCCCTAAGGCTGCTGACGTGTGGTGACCGTGCGGCACAGGATGCTGGACACACGTGGCCCGGAAGGGTCTGATCCCCAAGGAGGAGTGGGTGTGGGCCAGGTGAGCGGGGACATAGCAAGGAGGGAGCCTCAGGGGACTGTGTGGCCTGCTGGGCTGACCCCAGCCCCCTTCCCTCTGCTACATGGGTGCGCATGCCAGAAAGCGAGGGGCCGAGGGGTTCAGCTGCTGACTTCAGCAGCTCCCACTAAGTCTGTCCAAGAGAACTAGGGCTAAAAGACAAAATAATTTGAAAAGGCTTTCTTTTCTTCTCTTTAATTGGAGGGCCCACAGAGAAAATAGAAGTTGTTTGGACTTGAGGGTTGCACCTGATAGCATGCTATGAATTTTTAGAAACTTCCTGGCTTAAAAACAAAAATCTTTGCCAAGGGAAGATATAATCTGTCAACTGTCAGTTAAAGACAGGAACCTCCTAAGCACAGAAGTTGCTTCTGATTTTTAAAATTTTTTAAATAGGTACATTTGCAGGACTCAAAAAGCAAACAGTAAGTTATTCTAACCTGTGTCCCTATCCACCTGGTGCTCTCAACCACCACCTGCTCCCAAACCAAGCAACGATTTTCATTCATGTCTTTATGCAAATGTAAGCAAGTACAAAGATATACTCCCCCTTTGCACAGAAAAGGTGGTCCTGAAATTGTATTTAACATCTTTACTAATGATTACAAAAAGGAAAGTTATATTGCCAAAATAGGTTATTATTTTATGAAATAACAAGATGGTGAGAAAAGTAATATCCACCAACATAAATGGTTAAAAATGTGTTACCCAATTAGATTCAGCAAGATGCAAGCAAAATTCAAATATATTTAGGGAGTAAAGAATTTTAAATTTTCGGGGCACCTGGGTGGCTCAGTTGGTTGAGCGACTGCCTTCGGCTCAGGTCATGATCCTGGAGTCCCGGGATCGAGTCCCACATTGGGCTCCCCGCTCAGCGGGGAGTCTGCTTCTCCCTCTGACCCTCCCCTCTCTCATGTGCTCTCTCTCATTCTCTCTCTCTCAAATAAATGGATGGAATCTTTAAAAAAAAAGAATTTTAAATTTTCATTGTCACACGCACACATTCTGGTTATCTGGGCACTTGTCACCCCCACTGGACTGCAGGCTCCTTGAGGACACAGCCTGGGCTGCAAAACTGGCCCCCGTTCTACCCTCTGCCCTGTATCCGCACCCTCCGCAGTGTGGGCTTGCAGGTGGAGTCTATGTCCCCCTCTTGGAATGTAGCCTGGCTTTGAGACTGCCTTCGGCCTAGAATGTGGTGGAAGGGACAGTTCTGAATGTAGGCCTGATTCTGCTCTCATGGAACCATGGTCAGCTGCTATGAGAACAAGCTCAGGCTAGCCTGCTGGACGAGAAAAGCAGGTGTGGTGCACAGCCAGCTGCAGACACACAAGGGAGCCCAGCCTAGATTAGCCGGTCCTTGCTTAGACCAGAGAAGCCACCCAGAGGAGCCCCAGACTCGTGAGCTAATCAAATGCTTGTAGTTTTAAGGCACTGATTTTAGGGGTGATTTACTTATGGTAATTGGTAACTGACCAACATATCACCTTATTCGTAGAAGATGCTTAGTAAATATTTATGAAATTATATTACAAAGGAATAAAAGTAGACAAAACGATTGGTCTCATTCTTTTTCCTTCGGTTTTCTGTGCTTAAGACGGCAACTAACTTTGGGACGGTTTGAAGTCCTATTTAAGCACAAGCAAACTGCTCCCCCAGGACCTGCACCCCAAACAGTATAGAAAGGGGTGTCCTGGGAGACAAGGCAGTTTATCAGCGAGGACGACGCCTCTTCTCAGCCCTGTATGTAAGGTGTAAGGGCAGGGAAATCAACTACAAACACAGGCAGAGCGAGGACCCGCGACCCTCAGATCCTCACCTGGAAGTGGGAGGAGTCTCTGGACTCGCACACATCCTGCTGTCTGCCGCTGCTCTTCGCTGCCCACCAGGAAACCACAGCAGGGTGGAATGTCTGCAGCCCATACGGGTAGAAATACCAAGCGCCTGTCCACAGAGGAGAGGGGGTTATCCAGGCCAGTGGCCAAGAGCAGGAAGGCACAAGCTGCTGAAGAGGGCAGCCTAATCAACACGGGTTATTAGCAGCCTGTCTCATTCCTGTGAGCTGCATTTCTTCTGGAAGGGATGGAGGGATGGTGGAATGGAGGTTCCCATCATTCTTTGAGGCGGTAACTTCCACCCGACAGTCCCAGAGTATATGCGTTCTCACATCTCTCAGGAACCCTCATCTTTCTCTGGATGGCAAAACTCAGAGAACATGGCTCTAATAAGCTAGGGATGATCCAGCGGTAGAACCAGAGGCCACTCCCGAATGTCCATCAGAATCACCCAGGAAGCTTTTAAAATACCCAGTATCTGACCCCACTCTCTCTAGAGCATGAATTCACTGGTCTGGGGGATCCTTCTGTAGGTGAGGTGAAAGATTTTACTTACTTAGAGAAAGAGAGAGTTGGGGGAGGAGCAGAGGGAAAGGGAGAAGCAGACTCCGTGCAGAGGCGCGGAGCCTGATGCGGGGCTTGATTCCACGAGCCCAAGATCATGACCTAAGCCGAAACCAAGAGTTGGATGCCCAACCGAGCCACTGCACTGTCCCTGTAGGTGAGTCTTAAAAGCTCCTCAGGAGGGGCCCCTGGGTGGCTCAGTTGGTTAAGTGTCTGACTCTTGATCTCAGGGTCATGAGTTCAAGCCCAGCATTGGGCTCCATGCTGGGCATGGAGCCTACTTATAAAAAAGAAAAACAAGCTCCCCAGGTAACTCTCATGGACTACTGTGATTGAGAATCACTAAAACAAGACACCTGCTAAGAGAGGGTGCTACAGCCACAGGGACACTTGCATCTTGCTTTAGGGGTCATCTGCTTGTGATGCGTTTACTCCTGAGCTATGCACATGCATGTGTGTGTGTGGGGATGAGGGCATCTGAAAAGCTGCATGCATCTCCATCCGGGTAGGACCACACCTGCCACTCAGTCACTGGCTGGGAGCAAGTGCAGCGGGAATCACACGCCCACCAGGCTTTCAGTCAGTCCCTCTGGACGCGCCTCACTTCATGCACTCCCCTCCCGAAACGGGCCACTCCCCCCGCCTTTCAGACTCTCCACACGCATCTCACATCTCTTCGTGAGAGATGCCACTGGGACTCAGCTCCATCGACCCCACGAGGCTGCGGTGAAACTCAAATTATCGGAGGTAACTCATGAACAAAGCACTATACAACTGTAAAGGATCATTCTTATTTTAAGGGTGATGCCCAGTTTCCACTGGACATGAACAAGCTGTTCTTGTAACAGCAAACGAAAAGGAAATCAACACTTGGAAAAATTTTCTACCTTGCTATTCAGTAAATACAAGTTGAGTAGATGCTAAACCTATAAAACCAACTCTAGGGGCACCTGGATGGCTCAGCCCGTTAAGCATCTGCTTTCGGCTCAGGTTATGATCCCAGGGTCCTGGGATCGAGCCCCACCTGGGGCTCCCTGCTCATCGGGGAGTCTGCTTGTCCCTCTCCTCCCCCCTCAATCTGTGTCTCTCTCTCAAATAAATAAATAAAAACTTAAAAAAATCAACTCTAAAAAAAATAAGGCATGGTCTCTATCAATTAATTGTAGATTGGTACAATCATTAAAACAGGCTGGGGGCCATAGAGACAACTCCTATGGAATTGTGAGACTCCTATGATACTGTCAGATTACAAGCTGAACACAAAATATATACACACAATTATTACAACTATGTAAAACACACAAAATAGTCGTAGGATAGAGACTGGAACAATGTCAAACACTTTATAAATGAGCTATATTAGTATAAAAGAGCATGCTTCTCTTTACTACTTTGTTCTGATCTCAAAGATAGTTAAAGATTGAACTTGACGTCGTAAGACGAATTCACTCACCCAGACGATGTCCTGCTTTCAAATGGAGGGAAAAGGACTACTAATAACAGTGTCAAGATCCTGGCTTTTACCCCAGTGCTGCTGTATTAGGGCATGTCCTGAGCCAGGTGGCTCCAAGAATGCTCTAGACATGCCAGGCAGTCCAGAGCAGGCCCCCAAACAGGACCAGGTCAGTGGACTGGGGCATATCCCCTCTCACCCACTGGGCACCCTGAGAATGCTGCATGGGTCAGTGAGGACCCAGGAGAGCCAGACAGGACTGGCCTGGGGCTTGGGAGCTGCCCAGGCTCAGTCTGATCCCACTCATCCTGCCTCCTTCCCTTTCCTGTAGGTCATCACAGTCCCTGTGGTTTTCACATCTCCACTCAGCGCCAGCCCCCACCCCACCCTGCCCTGCCCCTCTGGCACGCCAGCGCCATTTCGGCCCAGCATGCTCATCCTACCCCTCCCCTGCAGCCCCGGGCAAGCTCACCATAGGTCAGGCCGGTCATGAGCAGCAGCAGCAAGAGGAACCATAGGAATGTCTTCACAGACGAGAAGCGCCTGGACCACAGGAGGGGACGGGGGGGGGGGGCAGCGGCGGAGGTGTCAAGAGGGCATTCGGGCCTCTTTATCCCCACAGGGAGTCTGCAGAGGCTTTTCCTGAGTGCTAAACTAGAGTTGGAGTGGGGTGCCCTGAAGTGTCTCATCTCCCCAGGGCTGGACACTTTAGAGCTTTACCTGTAGGTCTTGGAATAATGGGGAGAATTCGGACTCTCTGAATTTTATTGATGTTACTTAAAAACATGGGGTCTTGAAAAACCTGAAATTTTCATATACAGAGGTCCTCTAAGCAAGCAATTCTAGGAAAAAAAAAACCAGAACTCCCTAAACAATGTTTTCTTTTAGAAAAGTGAGGAACCTTCTTCTGGTGATACAGGTCCATCCTTGCCCCTCTCAGCACAGCTGGCCAAACACCCAGCCAGGACTACGGCCCGAGGACCCGGACTTCCTGGCTCAGTCTTCTTTCCGGGCTCTGCTGGCTCAGGGACTTGGGAAAGAAACCCACAGCATCCTCACACAGCACCTATTCCTGGCTTCTGAACATGCCTCGGAGAACACTGGGTTCTAGACTGCCACGGGGTCAAGAGGGAAACCCAACTTTCTTGGCAACACCACTTGTTGGCCGGAGCCTAAAACCTGACCAGCAGGAGGAAGGCCAGGCTCGGCAGACACAGAAGTGGCCAGACGGGGCTGGCATTTAGCAGGAAGAATCTAAGAAACAGGAACCCGTAATTCCAGAATACTCCCTGAAGAGAGCTATTGGTTTGGAAAACACCTGACTCAGTCCCATCATCTGTCAGGCAAAGAGGGGCTCTGGGGAGTCTGCGCCCTGCTCACTGATAAAAGCTACCCGTGAACTGGGACAACCACCTTCAGAGAGATGACATCTAGGGGTTTAGGAGCTTTATGGGTCCCTTCCGTCCCAGGCCTTCCGGATTCATTGTCAAAGTGGGGGTCTCGCTCACCTGGTTAAAACGAAGACATCGAGAAGAGAGGCAGCTGTCGTCAGGCGATACCAGGTGGTGCCAACCCACCAGTAGAGGAGGCCAAAGAGCCGGCCTACAAGAGGGACCGGCAAGGCCCAAGTGTCACCCTGAGCCAGAGGCCTGCAGGTCATGGTTCAGAGCACCGCTCTGTCCACCTGCCGCCCTCTCTGCCCCCGCCCCCACCCCCAACTCTGAGCTGCCAGAGCACCTCTGTCCTGTCCGAGGCCACCCCGTCCCTCTGATCCCACCTGCCTGGTCTGCCAACATCCTCCATCCGGCTCTGCAGCTGCTCCTGCCCCTCCACCCGAGAATGCTAGAGTGTTACTATGGCTCCTGGTCTCCAGTGATTATTCTAGAATGAGCTTTCCCTGATGGTCCTATGGTCTCTTGGTGGGCTGCCCAACCACAGGGAGAAGCGGGGAGAAGGGGCTGCTATAGAGAATGGAAATAATCGTGCACAGAATAGCCAGCACCCACCTGGAGAAGTGACAAGCGTCCAGAAACAAGAGGCTGCCCAGGAGATGGCGTTCCTTAACCGTGAACCTGAATCACGGTGGTCAGTCTCCGAGTATCCTGCAGGGACAGAGAGGCCACACTCAGTCTGTCCTCACTTTTACGCGCCCAGGGATATGGAGACTGCCTATTAGTTGTCTCCTTTAGACTGTGAGCTGAGACCACCTATCATTCTCCTTTGCATCCCCAGAGCGTCACACAGGCTGGCCCCCAGCAGGTCGGTAAACGTCTGTCAAAGGAATGAAGTGGTAGGCTTCTGACATTTTGTTTGCTTTGAGCTTCTCGTCTGCATCCCTCTCCTCACCAGCAGTCCTTCAAACCATCGTTCAGAACTAGACTAAAGGGGTCAAGCCCCTCCTCTATGTGAAGCCCCACGTTAAGTACTGGCTGGAAACAAGTCAAACACGATGGAGTTGACCACAGGCTGCTCAAACTGATGGGGACAGGGCAGTCACGGTGTGTTAAGGGCCCCCCAGGCCCGGTTCAGGGAGCCGTGGTGGCACGGGGGTTGGGGCGGATGCCCGGCTGGTCTGTGGAGACGCCCGCCGGATACTGTGCTCTCTCAGGCGGTCAGGGGGTCACCTTCCCTGGGCCTCCCCCATCACTGCCCCAGCAGTCCCAGGAGCTGCTGGAGTGTATCCCCGAGGCGTCACCTACCTGCGAAGTCATCCTCAGAAGAGTAGCCCGAGGAAGAGCCCAGGAAGTCCTCGGAGCTCTTGTTCTCAGCAAGCCCGTTGAGTTTGCTGCTCTCCATGCCGCCTGTGCCCCTCCTCCTCCCCACCCGCAAGTCCTCACCTGTGGAGGGAAGAACGTGGGGTTCTCCGGGGGCCGAGAGCTGCTCCCAGGAGGCTACGCCACACGGCCTCATGGGGACACCTTGAGGAGCATCTCTCATGGACAGATGGGACTGCCCTTCACTTCTCCCGAGCTCCCTGGGTCCATAGGAGGGTCTCTGGGCCTGGAGCAGCTCCATGACCACTTCGTTGTCTGATGTGGCCTGCGAGTTCAGACACTCGGCTCCCCTTCTAAGGGTTTCTGAAGATGGGGAGCCCCTCCTCTGGCCCAGCAGTGCTTAGGAAACCACTCGGGGAGATTTTGGACCTTAAGTTTCCACTAGAAGCAAAGGAAGCAAAGCCCCAGGTGAAAGGTCTCAGATACTCACTCCAGTAGGAGTCACTATGCAGGTGGTCGTCGAGGATGGAGCTCCTGGCCAGGGAGGAGGCCCGGGGGCTGCCAAAGTAGGACTCCCTGACCACCGACTCGCTGTAGTAGGAGGTGTGTGCGTCGGAGGAGGGGCCCAGCTGGGGCGCTGGGGAGAGGCGCTTCATGTTGCTGGATTTCCTCTTCAAGGTCCTGTGGGAGGTCAGCCAGGAGGGGTGAGGCCGGGAACAGGCAGGTAAGCCCAGCCAGGAATAGGGAAGCAAGCTGCTCTGCCCGCCTCTAGTGAGTGGGTCAGCCCTGTTGCTAGGCAACCAACAGCTTCCTGGCTCCTGCGGGTGCTAACCACAAGTGCTCTCTTGGCTCCCATTAGCTCTAAATCTCACCAGCAGTTAAGTGATGGAGTCAGGATTCAAATCCAGGTCCCTAACTTCAAAGTCAAAGTTTCTTCTCGTGCTTCTTAAAGCAGTACCAATTTCTACCGCCCACGGGGTGCCTGGGTGGCTCAGTCGTTAAGCGTCTGCCTTCGGCTCAGGTCATGATCCCAGGGTCCTGCGATCGAGCCCCGCATCGGGCTCCCTGCTTGGCGGGAAGCCTGTTTCTCCCTCTCCCACTCCCCCTGCTTGTGTTCCCTTTCTCACTGTCTCTTCTCTGTCAAATAAATAAATAAAATCTTTAAAAAAAAAAAAAAAATTTCTACCGCCCACTGAAAACCCGGACCAACCCGACCTGGCCTCCTAGGACTAGCCAAAGCCTCGTGAGCTGCTCTCTGGGCCCCATATCTGCCAGCCGGGCAGGATGAGGCGGGCACCTGCTTCAGCTCATTTGCTGTGCCCCTCAGACTTGGTCCTCCCCTGGGCGGCTTCGCTGGCCCGGCTGAAGCCTTACAGAAAGTACACATGGGTCGGGGGCGGAGGGTCAGAAGGGCACACCTATCCATAGCAGAAGGGGCTCCTGTGAACCCCACTTGCACTCTGGGGGGCTCTGGCCTGGCTTGTTCTTGAAGCTGCCTCTCCCCGCGGCCTGTCCTCCGAACATGAGGACAACAGCCTGGCCTGCAACAGGGTGAGAAGAAGCGGCAGTGCTGGGTCCTGGCATCCTCAAAGGTGTGAAGGTTCCCCCTCGACCGGATGGGCATCTGATCTCTGCCCGCTGAGGTGGCAACAGGAAGACCTGCCCGAGCCCTGTGCGATCCACGGTAATCCCCTACCTGAGAGGACTGTCTTTCAACAGGGTGCTCTGGCTCCCCATCACCGAACTCCCTCCGCTGCTGCTGCCGCTATCGTCATCAGCCTGGGAGTAGCGCGTGAGGCGCTGGCTTCGGCGGGACATGACGAGGTAGGATGGGGACCCTCCCGCTGGAGAGACGCTTGGGAGAGAAAGGAGGACATGTGAGGCCTGCGGTTGTTCTCAGCTCATCTCTGGGGACCTGGCTCCCAGGAAACAGTCCACCCCCTGTGCATTCAACCCAGCCTGAGAGGTGGAGACGTGAGGCATTTATTAAGCATCTGCCGGCACCCACCCCGCCGCAGTCCCTGCCCGGCGTCGGGCTCACTTAGTACCCGGGTGGCCTCTCTGGGTGCTTTCCACAGGCTTTTCTAGTTTTCAGTTAACCTGATGCTGAGCTGCCTGAGAGGCAGACCCGGACCTTCTGCAACCTTCGGCACGGAGCAGAGCACGTCGAACACGACAGGCACCCGATAGATGCTCACTGAATGCCTCTGATCGCTGCTGCCTCACCCAGACGCTCCAGTCCAGCCATCCCACCATGCTGCCCTCCCCCTAGAGGTATGTGTGCGCTCATTCCAACTGTTTCTCTTCGAGGGGACACACTTTCTTTTCCTTGTGGCTGTACTCATTGATTCACAGCGCCAATCCAACTTGGACTGGAGAAAACCTTTCTCCTGGTAAGCCCCACCTCCATCCTGAAGGGGTCTGCATGCTGTGTCCCCTCAGTGATTAGCGTGCAGCAACAGCAGTGCATCCTGGTAGGATGGTGATGGTGAGGACAGAATACTTTGTTAAATGCCTCCTAGGTAACCGGCTCCTTACACAGCCATCTCTGATCCTTGTGAACATGGGAAGTACCATTCCTGCCATTGTACAAGGGAGGACCCTGGGACACGGAGGTGATGGGTGACCTTGCCCACAGTCACCTAGCCTATGAATGACAGACTCAGGATTTGAGCGTAGATCTGACAGGTGTGGGATTTCGGTCAGTCTCTGCCGGAGGGAACAAGTCAGCACATGGGGTGAGAAATCAAGGCTCTGGAATTGATATCGAGGACTCAAAGGAGGCCAAGGTGAGGAGACCAGGCAAAACACAGCGTTTGATAACCAGAGGAGGATTAATAAGCCTTCCAGATATAAAAACCCAAATTCAAAATCTCAGATGACCAATGTGAGGAGTCTCAACGTGGTGCCTTTGCCTGCCCATGTTACAAAGTCTTTGTTATACTCAGACCCACGCAAGAGTCCCCAGTACTTTTGACTTATTATCACTTCTAATATTCCTGGGTGATCTTTACACTGTTAGGTCCCTATGTTGTACAAAGGGCATAGACTCTAATATTTCCCAACTCAAGGATGTGGAAACCAGAAGTTCTGGTTAGTCCAGCTGGAGAATTCTAGAAAGTCCTCTTCTGAAAAACAAGCAGCCTCACGTCTTGGTCTTACTGGCGTCTTCCCAGGTAGGATGCCCACCTAGCAGCCCTCCGTGGTTTTAGGCCTGTGTTGGTAAAGGGACCAATTGGTAGTAGCCAAAGCAGGAAGTTGGCCTGGGTCCTTTTCTATATTCCACTCCTTATAAGGTAATTCCACCCCCTCGACTGCCCTCCCCACCTGAAAGCTCCAGAGGCCCATACAGGCTCCTCCTCTTAACCCCTGCCTGCTGAAGGGAAGGAAGCCTTCACCCTGGGGCAGAAACAAAACAATGTTTCTGCCAACTCAAGCCGCTCTTGGCAAGAATATAAATATTCAGAGGGAGGTGTGTGGGGTGGAGGGTGGAAGGGGGTGGTGAAAACTGTCAGCAGTCCCCTCCTCCGCCCTCCCAGTCTTTCCTGTAGTCCTGGTATCACGAAACAGTTTGCAACTGAGCCTGGGTTTCAGAAGATGCGAAAGGTCAAGGCCTGAATCCTCCAAAACAAAACAAGGGCCTCTAGGAGCTCAAATCTTTTGCATATCAGAATAGACCCCACCCTCACCAACACACACACCCCAGTTAAGAAACCCTCAAACACAACATCCCTCCCCACTTCTGGGCTGAACCACATCCTTCTCTCAACTCCACCTTCCCCCACACCCCCCTCCACAAACTTATATGGCAGTAACCAGCCAGTCTTCAGACTTAACCTAGATCTCGGGCGTTTTCCACGGGGCGTTTTCACACTACTTTCCCTCGTGGGACCTGTAAAATGCTCCAGGTGCTAACTCCCTTCTCCCCTCATTTTCCCTCCGGGCTGAACCTGCAGACATTTGCTTTTTTTTTTTTTTTTTTTAAACCAACCACGCGCCTTCCCTGCCACTCTGTTCTAAGTCACACTCCCGCCTCCTATTTGTTTGGCTTCTTTTTTTAAGAACGGAACAAAATGGGCCTTCCTCCCATTCCCAGAGTCTGACAGGCAGAGGCAGGGAACTGCCTGTCCCTGGAAACCGCCTGCCTGGCACGAAAACAGGCACTCCCCTGGGCCGGTCGGAGGTGGCCCGGCTCTCGCTCCCCTCCTCTCGGGGAGGTCGTGCCCGGGGAAGTCCCGCCTGGAGACATCCGCCCTCCCGGCTGGCCAGTGGGCGGGCTGCGGAGATGAGTCAGGGCGGCTGGCCCCCGGCACGGCGCTGGCCCTTCCCGACCGGCCCAGGGGCGTGCGCCGGGCGGGGCTGGAGCCCGGCCCAGCTTGGCCCGGAGAGGAAGAAGCAGGCCTGGGCAGCTCGGCCCTGGCCGGAGCGGCCCGACGATGACCCCGGGAGTCGGCGGCCCGCGGGGAGGCGCGCGAGGCCGGCCCACATACCCTTGCCCCGCACGTCCACCCGCCCGAGGCCCACGGCCGGCGGTTACCTGCTGCTGCCGCGGCTGCT